TAACCACGTAATATTATTTACAATATTATCTTAATAATCAATTTTAGTAACTACGTAATATTATTTACAATATTATTTTAGCAATCAATTTTAGTAACCACGTAATGTTATTTACAATAATTCGTTAAAAAGAAAAAGAAAATGTGGTAAATGTGGAATTGCTTGTCACTAGTATGTATATAATAATCGTTCGTATTAATATAATCGGGGAGTTAGCAGTCCGATGTAAATTTTAATGCTGAAACACTGAAAACGCGCCTTTTATGATGAGACAGCAAGGAAGAATCGCTTCTCACGGCACACCGATGGAAAGAAAGGATCGTGCCTGATCTATGGTCACGCCCTCCTTTGTGGTATTCACTCCGATATTACTGGCAATAACGAACTACCGTGATTTATTATGATTTATCGCCAACTTTTTCATCTAGAAAGCCGCAAAACCTGATTTAAGGAACGACCGTTGTTCCTTGATCGGTTAGCCGATTTTACACGAATTGATCGTCGGTTTATACTCTCTGTAATTTCATATCTCTTCATATTTCTTCGTATCTAAACAGAGAAAGCTTGCAACATTCTCTGTCTCTTCTTTTTTTTTTATTAATTTAATATTTAATTTTATATTTTAACGTTATAACATCGAAATTTTACAAAATGGAAAAGTGAAAGAACTCTGATAAATAAGTTTTGCACTGCTGCGCCTTAAATTATTTGTTGCAGTAAGTAAAGATGTTAAAAACTTTCACCGAAAATTACTTCAACATTACAGTTTCTTCTTCTTTTCTTTTTTTAACTGATCGAATAATTGTACATTCGACAATTACATTGAAATCATTATGCACGTAAAGTTATTCCTGAATTGTCGTTATTCGATCGGAAATGTCAGAAAAACGAAGAAAGCTTTTACCAGGCTTTTAATTTATCTTGCGTTCTTTTGAAAATTGTCGAAGCAGCTCTATTAACGAGTAAGTTATTTACAAAACGTCAGAAATTTAGAAAGCGTGGAACTATTTACGATCGAGGCGGGACATTCGTGCAGTTTCGTTGGCGAAAAACGGGAGATAGATAAATCAGAACTAGACATGCAAATTCCAGTTCCTTATCTCGAAGTCTACGGAAGTTTTACTGTCTTTCTTATTCGAATCTTCAGCGAAGTATCATATCGCAACAAGACACTTTAATTATCATCAGACCTTTATCGTCGTCAGCATCGAACGACATGTTCCGAATCTCGCTATTTTCTTCGCCGAGTTACAGCTTTCTACAATTATCTTTAATCGACGCTTAATTGCTATTAAAATGGGGACAAGTACGAGACGTTTGAGTTATTTTACACGTATGTAAAGAGGAATCTGTGTTTCAATTCAAAATAATACTGCACAATGACAAACGAAACAAGGAATTAATGTTATTGATCTTGAAACTTCCATCTTTTACAGAATATTTAAACGTGCAAGAGCATGTATATCGAAAACACATGATGAACAAAAATATAAAGTCCCCAAAATATAGTATTCGTAATTACTTTCCATCTGTATTCAATTTCTTTGATTAATTGTATCAATTACATTAATATTAATTGGTATCTTTCTTTAATTATATTGATATTTATATTATTAATATCAAAGAAATTATAGTAATATTTATATTATTAATGATTAAAGAAATTATAGTAATATTTATATAATATATAATATAGTAAATTATAGTATAGTTATTTTATATAAACTTTTATATAGTATATTAACGTAAATCTGTACACACGTTTATTTATAATATATTATAAATTATAATATATTATAATATATTAAAAATTAATATATTTAATAATTATATTATATATTTAATAATATATTAAAAATTAATATATTTAATAATTATATTATATATTTAATAATATATTTAATAATTAATAATAATTATTATATTTAATATATTTAAATTATAATATATTATAAATTATATTTAATGTATTATCAATTATTCTATACTTACGCGAAATTGATTTTATACGACAGCGTTTGAAAAAAAAAAAAGAAAAAAAATAACGGCACGCTTACAAATCCATTTATTAGATCCTTCGTAGCTGAGAATTCAAACGTCGGGGACGAAATTAATTAATCTCCTACGCATTACGTCTCAATAGGCGGTGTAACTCGCGACTAGTTAAAACCGA